AGTCGACATCAATCTGTAGGTTTCTTATATCTGTATATTTAATGATAAACAATACATATACATGTAGAGTAGAGAAGTAGAGTAGATGCCTACATTCAAAATTGGGTGTGGCACACTAAGAAGAAGATGACATCGTTTTGTTCGCGGTTCAGTATTGGTATGACATAGTTTCATTTATAATCCTTTGTTTCTAGTAATCTGAAAATATTTCAGTATCTAAATAATATTTTAGCTTATCATGATATGTACTTTGTTTTTATTCTACATTATTGTGAATACTATACAACTTGGAAGTTAACTTAAATCTATATTTAGTGTTCCCTTACAAAAAAAGTATTTGCCATTTAATAATACTAATAATTTACTGCAATAAATTTGGTCTGTTAAATAAAACTTTTTGTAAATTTTTTAATCAATAATTACGTGTCATCTTTATGTAGTTTTCTACAGAAAGTATCCACCTCGTACAATGTATCAATCTATTTAAACCACCAGAAACTTTCATCCATATTCATACAATATGTTGTTTATGGCATTCTGATAATTTAAGTTTTTTAAGTATTTGTTTTTTTTATTTTAAAGCGTGTTCAGTAAATTTGCTACTGAAGTTGAGTTACTATCTACACTTCTTTCCATTTTCCTATCTACGCTTATTCTTTCCTTGTTGACTGTGTCTTGCTCTTTTACTTTTTCTGGATGAATTGGTTGAAGCGGTCTATAATATTCGTAGTTTTTTATTATGTGCGCTTAATATTGTTTTATATTTTATTCGTTAAGACTGTTGCATTATTTGTTGCAAAATCTCCACTTTGGTGTCCTTTTTAAAATGCACCTAGAATTCTGATTTAGAAAATATAATTTTCATGTATGTCTTGATTATGAGCTTTTAGGCTGTAATCCAGTACTGTGAATATGTCGCACTCGATTTGATCTTTGCTTTGATTCCTGTACGATTTTTCTATCTTACTTTAATATATGCTTTTGGCATGGGCAACGAAACAACTGAAGTTGTAGAAATCGGAATCAGTATCAATAATTTAAGATACGTAGACGATATCGTGTAATCGAAGAGTAAAATATTGATGATCTGCAGAGAAAGTTTCGCCTACAAACCAAATAATAATGCTCAAGTCATTACTATCGTACGTGTACACAGATATAAGTATCTTGGAACTAGTAAATGCGCATAATGATTTCGCAATGGAATTCAGAACTAATTTTGAACTGATAAAAAGCGGTTATGAGGATTCTGTCTATGTCCTCGTGTTAAATCCTATAAAAAAACGCTAAGGTTTTTTCTGGTCATTTTTTGCTCTTTTCTTGTAGAATGATAGCCATACCTATACCCAGTGCTGTAATAATCTATTTTGGTTCTGGTTATCAACTTCCATGAGAGTTTGATTCTTGATAGAAATGTTAAAGTTATAGAAATGTCATGTTGCTTTTAGTAGCGTTTTATAGTTTCTAAATGGTTGTTAGATACCATGGATTCCTGCATGTATTACAATGCACGTGACACTGTGGAGCATACAACCTTTGTCGCAAGAATTGGAACAGAAGGCTTCCTCTTGGAAAAAGAACTAACTCCGGATAATATAACCGAGCAAATACTAGAGAGTAAAGACAAATGGAAGGTTGTACATCATGCTCAGTAAAAAAAATGAGAAAAGACAAATTAAACGCGAATTAGCTAACTGAGAGAGGAACATAGAGTCAGCCAGAAGTATTTGAAGTACTTACCGATAGAACTGATATTTCCGGATGACTAATAGGTGAAAAAGAAGAGGAGTTTTAGTGGGTATGACACTTATGTGGGAAACAGCTTGGACACACTTAATCATACTCATACAGCTTTCCGATTCTACTCCAATCATACGTAGTTTGACGACTGGGTACCTTTCTGTATACATGGAAGGGTGTATAGTTGAAAACAATTTTACCTTATGTAAATTTTTTCGCAGAATACGAATATGTAGTCCATATGTAGTCCAGTTAAAGTAAATAAAGGCTTAGGTATATTAGTTAATTTTTACTGATTCAGATTATGGCAGTATCTTATTTTTATATGAATAGCAAATAGTTTTCTGTGGTAGAATAAAACAACAAAATATTTAATTAGAAAATAGATAAGTGAATTGCTTAATTTATTACAAATATTAAACTAATCAACAATTTCATTATTTTTGAAAACTGATACAGTTTCCTTATGTACAACTAAAGTTAATACAATAATGAAGTGAGGAGATCGACCCTGCTCAAATGAGTCTTTGTATCTAATTATAAATTAAATTCTACGATTAACAAAGCTATGTTACACTAATAATACCGATTGTCCCAAACAATAATTATCTTTGTTGCAATAACAAGAATGTGATACAGCACTAACAACACTAAATAATAAATTAATATACAAAAATATGGTTAGGATATTTACCCTACATAAGCGTATATATATATATATATATATATATATATATATATATATATATATATATATATATATAAATTGGATTTGAAATTTTCGCGGGAGCTATATGTTATTTCAGAACTGTAATTTCTGTTCTCTTGAAACATCAAGAAGAAGCAGAACTAATCTGACTAGACTATGGCAAGTGTGACCGTGCCGAAACGTCGTCAAAACAATGGTTTTTCTAAAAACCAAAACTATTTAACCAGGCCTAATTAGGATTTCAACCGATCAGCGAAGCTGAGTTTCTGTGGTTTCCCGAGCCTAATTTACAATTGAAAACAAAAAGAGAAAGAAAAATACATTATATGGTTTTATCCAAAAAGATTTGTCTGGGACAGCCTGTATCGTCTTTTATATCTCACATGTACCCTCTTTATCAGCTTTAAGTCTTTAATATTTCATTAAAAGAATATCTTAAATTAATATAATATTTATATCTATACCTACAATAACAATGTACACCACAAATTATAATATTTGTGCACATTTTTTAATTTTTCCATTATCAATTTTCAATGACTTTACCTAGTTGTATGTTCAATTCATATAAATACAGAATTGTAAAAATAATATATATTTTAATGTTTTTATTAATAATTTAATACAATTTTACAATATCTGATCAATATCAATCTAATTTTGTTGCTATGCAAAGCATGAAATGATTCTGATTGCATTTTTATTACACGTTGATAAATTGTATTAATTTTTTGCCATTTTTGAATCATCTTACTTGTTTTAAGTTTTATTTGTCAGGTTATCTGGTGCATACTTTTATTATTTTTTGGTGGTGCCATCTGTTTTTCAGCTTCTTCAACTTTGATGAAAACAACGTTATAATTTTAATTTCTTTTTTTGGTTTTTTAAATGATATGAATTCTATTTTTTATAATTTTTGGCTCTTCATCGCAGTATCTCCTCTGTCCACCTTTGATCTTACTATTCCAGTGTCTTAAATTCACTGTTCAACAAGAGCGTATTGATCATTCTGATATATGGCTTAATTTGCCAAATATTGTCCATGTACCTACTACGCATTCGTTAATGTTTGATTGTATCAAGCTGTGTTGATTTTCTGTTCCAGATATAATAATAATAATACTTATATGATATTTTTGTCAATTTTCATTGTTAACAAAATTTATCATTAATTTTCATTGATTTAATTTCCCTTGTGTTGCCTACCTAGAATGAAGATTTTTTGCGCCCTGTTGTTTTTAAAGAGATCATAACTTAAACCAGTTTCTTCTTCTTCAGTTACATAATTATATCGTATGTCAATATTTATGTCTGGTACCTTTCTTTCACTTTAGAAGTTTTCAATGATTGTGTATGTTAAGCATCGAGCAAAAAGATAAAAGAGGGAATGTAAAGGTAGTGGGGACAAAAATATTGTTAGACAGGAAGTGCTATCTTGAGAGGCCACTTTAAACAAGGAAAGACAGTCTCTTTCCTTGTTTAAGAAGTCAAATTTAGTTTGGTTATGTCATTGTTTGTCCCAACTGTCACATGAAATTTTATTTATATTGAAGTTTTTTTACCAATTATGTCACTTTTTAGACTATTATCGTTAATATTTAATTAAAACTTTCTTGTCTGAAAAATATTTTACAGGTATTGTTAACAAGTGTTGGAAAATTTAAATTTAGCGCCTTTGCATTTCCGGATATGTCCGCCATCAGAGGCCACTTTTTTGGTCTCCTTTTCATAACGATTAGATTCCCTCTTTTATCTTTTTGCTCGATGATGTTAAGTCAGACCAACAGTTAAGAAATCCATCTGGTTCACAAAGATCATTCTAATTCTAATTCTAACATCTACGATGTGGTTCTTTCTGGACCTGAATACTGTACCACTCACAACGCGTTCTTGCACATAGTTGACTAATTATGTAAATGCTTTGTGTTTACTATATACTGATATTCTCATTTTTAATATTTTGCAGCTAAATTTTTTGTGTATGTTAAATTGCAGATGTTGGTATTTGTTACATATGGTTGTTTAATTGCTTCAAAGACAATATTTAAATTATTTGTATTTCTTTATACATTCCGTTTTTGTTGAACGTTAATAATAATTGAAAAAGAGAAATACGACTTTCAGAAGTGACAAAAAATATTCCTACATAAGTAATGGTATACCTAATTTACACTACTTTTCAAGACTTTATTATACTGTTAATAGTTAAAATCGACATTTATTAAACTTTTAAAGATTTCATATTCGAAAAAGTACTTTTAGAAGCTTTGAGTAAATATGTAAACTTTCATTTCCAAAATATAAACTCTAGTAATAAATGATATATAAAAGGATGATTCTAAAGATTATAGGAAGATATGCTCCGTTAAAAATATGTCGTTAAAACCCTTTAATAGATATAAATTACATATTTTTATCTATCTGTACATAAAGAAACATTTAAAAATACAATAAAAAATGCCGAAGTGCTTAAATTTTTAATAATCAATAGAATCCCTTTATTTCAAATATTTAGTAAGTAGTCAGATTATGTTTTCGATATTTTTGTTTGTTACCATTCGTAAGCTGAGTTGGTGGTCGATATCGGCTGTTGTATGAGTAATGTAGTGTTGGCTTCAGGATACTGGCATCTTGAATAAGAAGAATTAGTAGTTCCCATCTGAAATAAAAATAATTACAAATTAATTAGTTATTTTTATTGGCAATTTTAGAAAATTTTGGTTTTTCCTTTGAGGGAACGTTGATTTGTATTTGCAGCGTTGATCTCCCTTTTAATTTTTCTCCAACGCCTGATCAATTTCACACTACATATATTATATTTCTTTATTATAACATCATCATTTTGGCTTTACAACTCTGCGTGAGTTGTAGAGCCTCCTCAAGAATTTTTTTCCAGCCCTCCCTATCCATCTCCTTCCTCCGCCAAGCACGTATTTCCATATTTCTCATGTTTTCATTGATGTTATTAAGAAACCTTGTTCTGGGTCTTCCTCTTCTTCTCTGACCAATGGGTCTATCAAATAGCGTTTTTCTAACTGGTTCATTTTGTTCCATCCGTATTACGTGCCCTGTTCACCTTAGACGTCTTACCCTAATACGATTAATATCTTAATACGATTAATTACGATATCTAGTTCCTGGAATAGTCTATAAAGTTCGAAGTTGTTTCGTCTTCTCCATGCTCTATTGTCATTCACCGCTCCATAAATTCGCCTTAGTTCTTTCATTTCGAAACATCCTAACATGTTTTTATTACTTTTTGTTAGACCTCAGATCTCTGAACCATATGTTAGGACTGGGCGTATTATTGTTTTGTAGTGTTTTACTTTTATATTTCTCGAGATAATTGAGGATTTAAGAAGGAGATTGAGTCATAAATAGCATCTGTTAGCCGTGTAAATTCTGCGGTTTATCTCTCCCGTAGTATTATTTTCTGTGTTAACGAGCGCTTCCAGGCATACAAATTCATTCACTGCTTCGATGACGTCTTTTTCTATAACAAGTGGTTGCGTGCTTATTTTCATATTCGTACTTCGTTTTGTTAGGGTTTATTATTAAACCCATTTTGCAGCTGATTCTTTTAGTGCAACATACGCCTCTCGTACAGTGTTTTCCGTTCTCCCAACAATATAGATATTATTAGCGTAGTCAAGGATTTGCACTGATTTATTATATATTCAACCGGTTTGTGATTTATGACATACGTATTACTTTTTCAAGTGCCAGATTGAACAATATACAGGAGAGAGTGTCTCTCTGGCGCAGCCCAATACTTGTTTTATAAGGTTTAGACAGTTATCCCGGGATTCATACTCTACATTCAACTTTTTCAAGAGTTAGTTTTGTTAAATTTAACAATTGATTTGATTTTCTTAGCTCTTTCATTGCTTTGAATATTTCTCTTCTATTTATAAATTCGTAGATTGCTTTTTAGTCTATAAATATGCGATGATTATCTATACCATTTCCAGTATTTTTACTACAATTTGTCTCAGGGTTGCAATCTGATGATTTGTCTATTTACCACTTCTGAAACCAGCCTGGTATTTTCCTACTATTCGTGTATACTACTATGCATATGGTGCCATACGGTAACATATTCAGCGCCTTATTTAGACTTCCAGAACTTTTATTACATTTAACCATTCTTTTTTCGATTTCTTGAGTCCTTTTATGTCTATTTGTTAGCGTTACTCCCAAGTAATTTAACTATACAACTATCTCAAAGGTATGTTCGTTGTCTGGGGCAGATAATTTCCAAAACTGTCCTAACTGTTCGTTATTTCCCCACAACTCTATATACTTTGTTTTCTCCTCATTACTTCCAGCCCATACTCTCTGCCTTAGTGGCATTGGTGTCTGTTTGTGGTACATTCAGACTTTGGTGTGAATATTGCTTTACCTTAAAATTCTTTCCCAATATTTCATTGAAACCTTGTCGTAGTCCTCTCGTGCTGTTAAAGCTATCGGAGACATGACCTTCTATCATAACTTTACTTTTGGTTTCATTCAAAAGAGATTTAGTTGATCGTCTTATTTTACCCGAAAAGTCAAAATATTTTAATGTGTCGATCACTTTGTCTTTTTATTGTGTCATACGCTTGTCTAAAATCAATAAACAATATGTTTAGCGACATATTGAATTCATATAAACCAGTCAGGATATATTTCATTGTAAAAATTTGGTCTATTACTGATGTGTTTGCTCTATACCGAGCTTGGTATTCACCCAGGTTATCTTCAATTTTGGTATTAATTATATTTCTGATCAATATAGCTATATATAGCAATATACAATCAATATCATTATCAATATAGCAATATACGTTATATCTTGTAATCCTATACCCCTGTAGTTTTTATATTCCGTAACATTTCCTTTTTTGTATATTGGGCATAGCAGAACTTCTCCCCATTACTTTCAAATTTGGCCCATACTTCACGTATCAACCCTGTGATTAATACCATTTTACCGGATGCTTTATTATTTTTTAAACTCGTTATTATGTCTATTATTTCTCCTTTTGTTGGTATTTCATCATTGTTATTCTTAGTTATTGTTTCTTCTAGTGGCTGCTGTATTTGAGGGTATTGTTCTTCATCGGTGTTTAATACACTTTTGAAGTATTTTGCCCATCTGTCCAGTTTTTCATCTATTTTTCCTACTAAATGTCCGTCCTTATTTTTATAATATTTCGGTGGGGTTTTATATTGACTTCGTTCTCTTTTTATTTCTTGGTAAAAGTTCTGACTTTGTATTTTACAAAATCTTCTTTAATATTCTTTAATTTTTCTTTAAGGTAGGTACAACCTTTTCCTTGTTCTGCATAGTTTTTTGTCCTCCTTTTCTTTTTAGTATATACGTTCTCTATTGTTTAAATTATTTTTCCTTGTGCTATTGATTCTGGCTCCATTTCTCTCCACAATCTCTCACTTACAATCATTATCATACCAATACTTTTGTCTTCTTTGTAAGGTTTTTGGTAGTGCCAATTCGGCTGTTTGTTGAATCGTTTCTCCGAGTCGTTCCCACCTACTGTCTATATCTTGTGCTACTTCCTGTCCCGATAGTTTCCCCTCTACTTATTATTAAAGTTTTTTCCTAATGTACTCGTTCTACAATAGTATACCACGATATAGTTTGACCTGATGGCTATTTCTCCTAGTAGATGTGGTCATTATTTGTTCCAATTTTACTTTTGTACCAGGAAGTGGTCTGAATTTGCATACGCTCTTCTATAACTTCTACTGTCTTTAATAGCCTTCATATGTTTCACTTCAATTAATATACGGTCTATCTGATTAATTGTTTGACCATCTGGTTATATCCAAGTATGAATCTCCTGATGATCAAAATATGTGCTCATAATACGCATATTATTTTCAAAAGCAAATTCAATCAATATTCTGCCATTTAGATTGCTGTCACTGTGTTTGCTTTTTCGTTTGCATCGATGGTATTTTGTGTAACAGTTTTTCATAATAGTAGTCTTTAATATCCCCATCATTATCTTTTGTTGGGGCATGTACCTGTATAAATGTTGATTCATCCTTACCTGGCATAATCTGCTTGTTATTGGCAAAGTTCACCACTAGCTCTGCAATTTTCTTTTTTACAAAAAACCCTACCCCAAATAGTCTTTCATTGTCCCCACTGTTAAGGGATATGTAGTTGTTAATCTCTTTGCAGAAAATTCTCTTTTTGTCTGGTTTCTTGGATAGCTGCAATTTCTATATCGTAATTCTCTGCATAGTTCTTGGTATTTGACCTTTGCGTCTCTTTCTTTTCCTTTGCCTCTCGCGCTAAATCTCTCAACACCTTCTGCATTTTGGCTTCAGATTGTGTTAGGTCACTCTTTATGAAATATTGAGTTCTTCTTCATTTATTTGTATTCTTCTTAATAAGTTGTTTTCCTTGAGGGTGTCCACTTGAACTACTGCTATTGGTGGTTTTCTATTCATGACTTGTGAGTGGGGACAATATTTTGTACGCTGCATTTGGAAGCGTAATTCCTCTCTGGTTAAAGCATTCAAAGATATCTCCTTTTTTTGTATATGGTGCAAAGAATTCCAATATTCCAAAGTACTGGGGAGGGATTTCTGTATCCATATTTCTTTTATGGGCTGCTGTAGTGCCATTATGGTATCATGGCCACCTTCTGTATTTAGTTCAGCTGGGAAATTATCTATTCCGCTTGATTTGTTTCTGGCTAATTTTTAACTACATCTTTAACTTCAAGAATCGTTGGTGGTTCCTTTTCCCTCTCGTCTGTTCCGCGTATCTCATATCTTTGGTCTTCCAGGTTTTCTTCTTCTATATGGAGTGTCCGTTTAAAATATTCCACCCATCTATTACATAGTAATACATCTTTCATCTATTACATAGTAATACATCTTTGCTTGTTGTTTCATTCACTACAACTATATTTCCAATTAACGCTGTCTCATGAGTGATTTTAAATTTTTTACTTCAGTATAATATTTTTAAGAATGTTTCATCTTATTGTCCAAAAAACTAACAAGAAAACGTTTTAAACGTATTAAATAGTAGGTTAATTACTGGCTTGTAGTTAACCTAAGTATAGTCAGAGAGGGGACAACGACAATATTTTATGATCAACGTTGTCTCGGAATGAATGCATTCTCCGAAAATATCGTGACCGTGTTTACACAATACTTTGTTCTTACGCCTGCCATACACGTGAACAGATTCATTAGCAAACGTCATCTGCCGATGCGTCCGTGTGGCAGACGCAGGCTGCTTCGACCGTCCAGCTCCTACATCCAAATCCTCCAAATCTGATCCATTATCATTATTTGTATGTTCCAAAAAGTCATACCCAAAACTTTAGGAATGGTTCCTTTATTTTTATATCACACAGTCTATAAATAACTCTATTTTTAAAGAGAATACACATAACACAAACAATTGGAAAATTTGAAATTTTACTTACTTCTTACCTCGTATCCAGAATACTGTTGATGCTGGGGTTGTTGTTGTTGTTGTGTGCTAAACGGATTCGCACCAGGAACTCCTAAAGTGCCACCTTGGCCCATCTGATATGTAGCTCCGTATCCATCTTGATTAGCTAGGTCATGAAGTTTTGTACTGGATAAAGCTCGCGGTATAGGATTACTGGGAACACCATGAGGAGCCAAATGGGATGTTTCTTCTGCTACCTATAATTATTTAGCAATAAACTTTCAAACAATAGCACCAATATCATTTAATCATCTATTAGTCAGACTGTTGTGTTGATAATACATTTTTTTATAGCGTAAAAACACTAGGTTATTATAGTTTTACACCAGGGATAATATGTTATACTTACACATACGTAAGTTTGCTGCTATTTTTCTTCTGAACCATCGGATTGGATTTTTATGATTTTTATTTCACATTATAGGTCTAGTTTTACTGATACAACTCATGTATGGGTAAAAGGTTGACATTTCTCATAAAATATTGGTATAACAATTCCTTAGAAATAGACCTATACTGTAAAATAACAATCATGGAAATCTAAGAAAAATAGCTTCAAATTTATGGCACATTTAAGATAGTACGTTAAGTAGTGTGTAACTGCTTAATATTCCCAATACTGACATACAGATGTATATCATGATCTTGGACCCCACGAGGAGCGGAAAGAAGAAAGATAGACGCCACTGAAATATTCTGTTGGAGAAGAATGTTAAGAATTCCGTGGACTGATCACCTGACAAATAATTCAATTTTATATGAACTAAAGGGAGCAAACATGCGTACACTGAGTTCTGACAACAGGTAACGTCTCTTCTGGAACAAGGTAGGTGATTTATTGTCTATATTAATTATTAAAATAACAAATTGACATGGCTACGAAGAAAAATTTGACGCTATATAAGTGAAGAATTTTCCATTGAAAATGGTAAAAGAAAAAGGTAGATAAATGAGGACGAAGGTGGGAATCCTTTCACGAGAACTAAGAAAGTGTCTAAACTCTCAATTAAGAAAGGGTCTGAAAACCAAGAATTAAAAGAAATTATGATGAATCTCATGCACGAATAAGAGTACAAAAAACTTTTCAAGAAGAAATTTAGAATTTTGAAAAAGAGAAAATTTAGAGCTAAAGCACAAAGTAAACTTTCTGGAACAGGATTTAGAAATGAATACGCCAATTAGAAAACAGAATGTTGTAATCAAATTGCTTGAATTTAAGGAAGATAAAGAAATTTAAGATGAAACAATTCATAGAAGATAAGCTGAATGTGTAAATAAAAATAAATGACGTTCAGAAAATCAAGGTCATGAATGGAAATCCACCAATAGCAGTAGTGAAAATAGATACCCTCAAGGAAAACAACTTATTAAGAAGAATACATTTCATATTGTAGAGTGACCTAACACAATCTGAAGCCAAAATACCGAAGGTGTTGAGAGATTTAGCGAGAGAGGAAAAGGAAAATGAAGAGATGCAAAAATGCCAAGAACTATGCATAAATAAAGAATGGTAGAAATCGAATCCGGCTATCGAACAGCTAGGAAAAACGAAAAAAAAACTAATAAAGAAAAAGTACAAAGACAAGGAAAATCCAATGACAATAACAAAAAAGGTACGAAATAGGATTTTGATTGGACAATGGAATGTTAGAGGAACATTTGAAATAGGCTTATTGAAAAACTTACCAGATATCCAAGAGAATTACGATATAGAAATTGGAGTTATCTAAGAAACCAAACAAAAAGAGAATTCTCTGCAAAGCGATTAACAACTACATCTCCCTTAACAGTGGGGACAATGAAAGACTATTTGGTGTAGGGTTTTTTGTTAAAAATAAAATGCTATGAGAGCAAACACAGAAAACATGGAAAGGCTCATTCTCCAAAGAATCCACTCATTCAATTCATACCACAAAATTCAATTTGGAATTGTGGTTATATTAATTATTTTAAGATTTGTATAGTATATTATTTGCAAAAATCAGCCTTAATATGTCACTTTATTTTCATCTCTATTATTTTTACAAGGTTAACTTACCTGTCTAGGATCTTCAGTTTGGGGCAAATCTGAAACAAATCCTTGATCGACCCTATAGAAATTAATGAATACAAAAGCGCCCAGTACTGCTAAACAGATAATTCCATATCCCCTGAAGGTAGCCGTAGAACCGAAAGAGCTGACGAACATTCCTCCAATCACTGCGCCACAACCTCTGCCTAGACCGTGATGAATTCCTTGGAGAACACCTTGGGCAGAAGATCGCAGTTCCAGAGGAGTATTGTGAGCAATATATGAGCAGCAGGCTGCCCAAACAGCAGCATGAGTGATCCCCTGAAAATTATTTTGGTTGAAAATGAAAACATAAAAACAAGATTAAGCTGTAGCTGTAGAAATTGGTACTACAAAAAAGTCAACATATTTAATATATATATATATATATATATATATATATATATATATATATATAGGAAGGAAATTATTCTATACAAGATTTGAAATAATATCTTAGTTATTCCATAATATCCATTAAAAAAAGATAATGAATGTCTGAAGATATTTCAATTAACTATGAAGTTTACATTTAAAGTCCTTTATTTTGCTGAAAAAAAATATTCATTGGCGAATAAACTATTTATCTACATTATTTGACTTCAAGAATGTGGGAATTTGTTAATAGGATTAGCAGAACTTTTGTTCAGAAAGTTAACTAACATCTTTTAAACTTACCTGCATGAATTCAAACGGCAACACCCACCAAGGATTCGTCAACCATGATATGTATAAGAATCGTAGAGTATTACCAATAAGGCCAAGGCACAATACTTTAACGTGGCCCATTTGCCTGATAAGTCGAAAGCTGAAGAAGTACGCGAATATTTCTGATATGTGGTTGATAACTGAAGCAACGCCGAATAGTGTCGGGGATCCACCATAGTCTTGTAAGTGCCAGAATAGGAACGTGAAGATTAATCCAATACCGAAGCCCATAAACCACGCGACGAATAAGAATGAAGCACATTTGAGATTTTTGTATTGTTTAATAACTGTCATCCATTCAGGCATTTCACGTGTAGTTTGAGCAAATATTTTCGTCTGAAAAATAAGACAGCGAGTTAATGATAATTATGATCCAATAAGATATTATAAATTAAAACGCGCATCGTAAGTTTCAGCCCATTATATTTCCTGACGCATAGAACTTATATTATTAAATTTTTGGATAACTGAACAAAGACACCTGTTCATATTAGTTTATATGACGTATTTGTGACGTAATCACTAAAAATACCAGAAAAGCGCCATTTTGTAAAATTATTTTATTTATTAATTCGCTAAACCCAAAGTACCGTTAGATCTAGGGTTAGTTACGAACCTAGTTACCTATCTAGTAGACTTACTGTAGTAAACTACATTTCATCATTCTTTTCTAATCTGCTGGAATATGCTAGTGAGAATGTTTTCTTGATAATTCTCTTCGTATAATTTTTCTTCTCTATGCTCCCCTATATTGTGCCAAATATCTGACCTCGGTCCATTCTTTTTTTCGTTTGACTGTCTCTTGTCTGACTTGCTTATCCCATCGTTATCATGGTTGGCCAATCTTGTTGTCACTAGTTAATTTACTTAAGTTTACTTTTTTGATAATCTTCCATAATTTATCTTCTGCATATGACCGAGCCATTTTATTTGCCCCTCATTGTCAATTGCTTCTAGTGGATTCACTTCTAAATTCGCTATTTTGAATCTTACCTATTTTTGTGGCCCCTTTAATCTTCCATAAAATCTCATTCCTGTAACTGTAATTAGGTCAATGAAACACAAATTTTTAGATACCTTAACAAAGACACTGTTTACAGTAATGGATATTATTACGTATTAATAACGTAGTCAGTAAAAATAACATACAGGCGCCATTGTAAATAAGCATCTTAATATTTTCCAGCCCTTAGAGGCTCCTGAGTTCTTTTGGTTTTCATTTTGCCTTTCAAAAAACAGCTGAATTAATTAGTTTGTACTTCTCATTGCACATTACATGTTCTGAGTATGACATCTTTCTGATTTTTACAGCAGGCATTACTTGCAGATCAAGCATGCAACGATAGCACGACATTTTGAAAGCTTCTATTTATTAAAAAATAGACTTCATGAAGATCTAGATGTCCACTCCACATAGAAGGGTGTAAAACACTTCTTTAGCATCTCAAAACTCGTCTTTAATCAGTGTTCAGGTTAAGATATTTTTGAGACTGTTGAAGATAGTTATCGCCTTTTCTATGACTTCTTATCTTTCTGATTATTCTTTATTTAGGTGCATATATATTTTTATTATTATAGTTTATTAGTCTTCTACAAATCCTCCGGACTATCGGACATTACAACTTTGTCATACCCATATTATAAAATGTTGTCGATGCTTTCACAGTTGATTTTTATTCCCCTCTACAGCTTCCCTGAACAGAATTTCCGATTAGGTTTTGATGTCGGTCAAAAAATGCAGCATTGACTAAATTTTATTGTAAATTCTTGAGATATTGTGTTGCATGCTTGTACATTCGTCTTGTTGCTGGCCTAAGCTTTTGTAAAAGTGAAGTTCTGAATAGAGTAGGTGATCTTCAGCATCTCATAAAAGACAGACTGGACGGGGAAGTTTTCAATCCTACAATGTGTGCCCCAATGGCTAATAGGGAACGTTCTGTAAAAAAATGGAACAGTAGGCGGTACTGTGGACTAGCGTGGAGTTTCATACTATGTTCTCTGTATTTTTAAAATTTCAGTAAGGGTATGAACAGTACACTTTTTTGTATATTCTTTGAGGCCCCAAAATTGACATCTTCAGAAAAATTCAGCTTGTTCGTATGATTTTTAGAGGTTCAGTGACATTTTCGTCTCTGATGACTGGAGTATAAATAAATGTATTTATTTATAACAAAACTAAAGCATCTTCGGCATTTGTTACTGCGTTTCTTAAATGGCTCTATTCGAGTATAGAATATAAGTCGGAATAAAAATTAAGGAAATTGTTTCATTGAAAGCCGACAAAATACATTTTTTTACGTATACCTATTTTGATATTTGAAATTAAATTTTCTGCAACCTAATTTTTTTGGCATTTATTATGCGCAATAACAATGATTTTTATTATTATAATATATGTTATAAATATCTTGAAGATATGAAAACTTTTATTGTGACAGAGCTCCGAAAGAAAAAGATAATAGTTTAAAGATTATCATCCTATTGTTTTTTAACTTCGTCGCATATGCCGTTCAACTTTGATAGGCTGTATGTCAGAAGTGCTGCTCGTAATTCAATTTTTTTTCTTTTATAAGAAACGTTTTGCCGAGTCTCTTTCAATGCCGTTTCTTGAATATAATTTAAGCTAGTAGTTACCGAGATATTCTATTTGTTTATAAGCAAAAAAATGTTTATAATTTTAAAACATTCCTGAAAACGTCCAAATAATCTGATTTGAATTACATTAAGTACGTTAGATAGGTTAAGTTCGGTTTTATAAGTAAAACAATTGGCAAACTTCTATATGGTCTGGTTTTTTTTTTTATTTTTAATTTTATTATCAATTTTTTTAAACAAATTTAGATTGCAAAATTATTATGCGAAATCTTTGAAATCGATTTTAATGGCATTTGAAAAACTGTTTTACTACGTGATAAATATTTTCTGAACGAATTATGTACAAATTATGAACGAATCTATGTGGTTGAAAAACATTGAATAATAAAAGGCTTGTTTCCCCCACTTTTTTTGTATCTGTTGCTATTTTGTAGCAGCGGTAATAAATAAAAACACTTTTTAACCAGCCATATCCTATAGAAAAATTAATTATTGTAGTTTTATTTCAGTACGACTTTGCTCCAAAATTGATTGTTTTAAAGTTATAAAAAAAGAAAGTAGAAAAAAGTAGAGGTTTTTAGTAATTTTTAAATTTTTTTATTAATTATTATTAATTTGAGAGGGTGTGTATTTATTAAAAAAATTAACTCAGATTATCATCATCATAAGCTTGACAACCCTTTGTGGGTCTTGCTTGTTCTACGATTTACGCCATTCTGATCTATTCCTTGCTTTGTTTTTTCAGTTGGTAATCTTTAGAGTTTTCAGATCTTAATCCACTTGTTCCATGTATCTAATTAAGGGTATTTTTTTTAGCTTCTCCCTACTGGTGTATGCCTTATTATTTTCTTTGGTATTTCATTTTCCTGCATTCGTTGGACATGCCCTATTTATTGCAAACGTCCAACATTTATAAATGTTATGATTATACTTTGTGATGTTCTAGATCTTATTAAATGACATTTTCTTAGTTTTCAATCTATCCTTATTTAATTTTACCGTTCTACTGCTTTATAACTCAGAAAAACTATCTCTACAACATCCTTTTGTTATTGTAGAACAGTTAAAAAGTATAAATATTTCCTTTGAATCAACTTTATCATTTAGTTTCAAACTATCAGATGAAATTTTTAAATTTTTCAGCATTTGCTTAAGGGAACTTTTACTTTCTAAGTTGAAAAAAAAAACAATTTTGAAGGGGTTAAGGTCGAGATCGAAAAAAATTTCATTTTATCCTTTTAGTTATTTTTCACCACTACACAGTGTATCTTCTCCAAACGCCTTATTTGGGGGGTGAACTTACCCTTGTACTAAAAAGGTGGGATGTGTGTGTGTGTGTGTGGTGTGTGTGTGTGTGTGTGTGTGTGTGTGTGTGTGTGTGTGTGTGTGTGTGTGTGTGTTTTTAACTTTTTAGAGGTTTATATTGTAGTTGTAGACAACCTAATAAATGTGACAATTATAGAACTATCTCTCTTATATCCCATGCCAGCAAGATAATGCTACATATAATCAATGAGAGACTGAAAACATTCCTCCAAAGAGAAATTCCACAAGAGCAAACTGGATTTACCAAAAGTAGAGGCACTCGAGAACACCTGCTGAATATAAGACAGATAATCGAGAAATCTAGGGAATTCAACATCGACAAGCGTTCGACAGGGTCAAGTGGAGACACTTATGGCGAATACTAAAAGAAGTAGGCGTACCACAACATCTAATTACGCTTATAACTGAACTATATGAAAACACTACTGGACCAGTTAAAGTACTTGACACACTTTCGAACGAATTTCATCCAGAACGGGGTGTCAGACAAGGATGTATACTATCTCCACAATTATTCAACATATATGGGGAATATATTATGCCAAGAGCACTTGAAGGATGGCAAAAGAGCATCTTAATAAATGGTCATAAACTAAACAATCTACGTTTCGCAGATGACACAGCCCTTTTTGCAAATAGTCAAGCAGAGCTGATGGAACTTACACGACTGATCGAAAACGAAAGTCAAATATTTGGCCTGCAATTAAACATATCAAAGACAAAGATCATGATAGTGGATAGACTACACAACAATCATCCACACATAACCACAATTGACCGGTTCGAGGTTGTGAGCTCATACTTATATCTGGGATCACTAATCACAAACACAGGGTCATTACAAGGAGAGATTAAACGTAGATGTGATCTAGCAAAAGTTGCCACAGCAAAAATGACTAAAATATGGAAGGACTGTCAAATTTCAAGAGCGATAAGGATGAGGTTGATCAACTGCTTAATATTCCCAATACTGACCTACGGATGTGAATCTTGGACTCTGAGACAATCGGAGAGAAAAAAGATAGACGCCCCTGAAATGTTCTGTTGGAGACGAATGTTACGAATTCCTTGGACCGACCGTAGAACAAATAATTCAATTTTAAGAGAGCTAAAAGTTAGCCAACGACTCTCTAGTAAAGTCCATCTCCAACAATTAAAATATTTTGGGCATGTTATGAGAGCAAACACAGAAAACACGGAAAGACTCATAATACAAGGAAAGGTAGAAGGCCGAAGATTACGAGGAAGATCCCCACCAAGATGGATAGATCAAATTACAGGAATATGCCAAAGACCTATGCATGAATTAAAAAAAATGACCAGAGACAGAGATATCTGGAGACGGACAATACATGACATCACGTCGACCACTACACTCCCCCTGGGGGGTCAGGATTGAAGAGAGAGATTGAAGAGTATACATAAAGTATCAAAAATAATTTGGTTTACCGAGATTGGTTTAGTAGATTTTGAGAAAAACGTCTCCCAGTTATGAAAAATGTGATTTCGAGAAAAACATGTTTAAAATATTTTAACTGTAATTTTATGGAATAAGATGGCCATATTTATTTTTTTTTTACCTCTTATCAGCGATTCCTGGTACATATTGAGTGCAGTCACTGTCCAGTGAAAGTTGCAAAGCTCTCTAGTCGGTCAAAGCCTTTTTTCGTCCTGTATCCATGTCTCGCTGCTCCTTCTATTGCTTGAGCAATACGAGCTTCGTCGATATTTTCCGACCAACTCATTGCTATTTCTCCCGTTTTTATTCCAATTTTTATTGTTATCCAATTTTGCCGAGGAACTGAGTAATTCAGAACTCAACTTACTACAGAGTGTTCTACAGTATGCTGGTTATCTTTGAATATTCTTTTTATATTATGCTTATGTCAATGCGTCCCCTTACTTCGATCGCCTTTTAAATGACCACCAGATCCAGGCTTTTTTCCAATTTTTAAAACAATAATAATTTTCAATAAACCTTAATCATATAAAACAAGTTTTAGAAAGCAATTGTCGAGTTGCAGGTGCACAGGTAAAGAGGGGTGCGTGGTGTTGTATACAAACGAGTTTTAGCTCAGGTGCCTACCGTTATAAATACAGCTATAACTTCGTTTCTATTTTGAATTTCTTAATACAATTTTAGTACAGTATTTCTAGGATATTAAAGAATGTTTTTACGTAAAAAAAATCGATTTTTTTGAAAATCTAGAAAGTAAAAGCCCTTAAAAGACATAGAAATTATTAATAACAGAATAATTGTAGGTCTTATTTTTAACATGTTTTGGAGTTATCTTCTAAGTTTGGCTCAACGATTTTTGGAATACATCATGGTATGGAGCTTTATACCAATTTGTTACATTCAGTTATCCTCTGACTATTGCATAATTAGCAGTATTGGATGAATTTGCATTTTGGCATTTAAAATTTATACAGGTCGACCTTAAATAAAGGAAAAACCAAACATAAAACAGTAGGGGTTACCACTCCGAATGGAATGTAAAACCTTATTAAATATAAGAAGAACTTTTTTTCATCTTTAAAATATAGATTTCATAAGCTTTCATATAAACTGAAAAATAACATTACCTTCTGTTCTTTTGGAATCGGTGGAGCATCAGCGGCCCGAGTATCCGCCAGAGAAGGTAAATTCAGTTGCTCGGCGAGTTGGGCCTGCATTCGATCTTCTTCGGTCGGTGACTGACTTTTTGGTTCCATCGTTGGTTCTGGCACGGATTCGTCGTATTTGAAAGTTATTTGAGTGGCGCTTATTAATGCAGCTCCCATAAGCACCGAGAATGTAGCGAAACAAATTGTGTAATTCTTTTCTTTCTTGTCGGGAGTGCAGGGATGGTTAGGAAATGCTGTTGAGTGATCTAGTGCTATGCCTACGAAAAACATGGCAAGACCCCATCCAAGGGAACCTAAAAACAAAAAAGTAAGAATAAAATAGAGTATTTTAAAATTTATTTTTACTATTTGAAAAAGTTCACATTAATCTTATTGACAGAGTGTTTCCTCGAAGCATATGTTTTCATCATATATCTCTTTAAAAATTTAACCCACTTCCCAACACTTGCCGTTGTGTCCTCTAAACACCTGAGATCCGTCGCATATTCTGTAAACCTCAAATTCTTCGTCTAACTTAAATTTTATGACAAAACTTTTCCTTAGGTTAATTTTTGCATTACATAAAATAATACCTAACTTCTGGGCACCTTTTTTTCCATCTAGGTTTAATTTATGTTAGGTATTTGGTGCCCAACATGGAGAAGTTACATTATTAAACACATTTTTAAATACATGAATTATAAAAAGAGGTATTTCATGTAACCCTTTCTTACCAAACATTCTTTGATGCCCATACGTATCAGCATCTTCTCCCAACAAAGTAAGAACAGCTGAATCTGCAAGAGTGACGGCAGGGGCACTGAAAAATTCACCAATAATCACCAGTAGTAGCAGCAGGAAAAATGCCTTTTGGATATCTTGCGTACGGTAAACAATGGAGGATATGATAGGTTGGACCCAGCTTTCATGTTCCTTGTCTTGGTAGTTAGATGCATATTGGACATTAATGGGAGACTGACCTGCATTCACTGAGACTGGGTGGATATCTCGAGGTTTCCTGGAGTGGCTAAAAATAAGTAATTTACCTTTAAAACAATACATGTGTCAAAAATATTAAGTATTATTTTGTAAGATTTAAAAGAAAATGTTTTAAATACTAGTGGTGTATGAACATCATAAGATCAGTGCAATGTTCGTTTATTTAAGATGTTTTAATTCTTTTGATTTATCTAAAATAGTATTCTTACTATGATTCTGAAACTTTTGTCTTGTGTCATTTTTATATTAACAATTCATGGAAACATTCATTCCATATTGTAATAAGGAGTCGAAACACGGACACCAGAAGTAAATAGTACGTGACGAATATAATTCATCAACATGTGATAATCAAAAAATACTTAATATCTCACTGGAAGAAGACAGGGCGAATGATGTGTTACAACTGGTAGAACTGTTAAAAACTTTTAAATATTAATAAAATAGTACCTATCAAGTACGTATTTAGGATGTACCATAAATCTCTCTTTCTGGGATAATGTTATTAAATCTGTACTGGAAAACAATATTGAAGGGAAAAATGTAATAAAAAGTGCGAGAAGAAGAAAGTATACTATAAAAAATTGTCTATAAGAGAAATCAATTAACCGTAATATGATCACTGACTTCTTATGTCTTTGTTTCAGCAAGGTAAAAAATTCATTATGATGTAATTGTTAACTAGGCAATAAAAACAAGTAATGAATTATCAACCAGCATTCTAATAACCCAACTATATATTGATTTTTTCAATATTCCGTGTCATAATCTTTGAAAAATTGCTACAAAAACTGTCACTGTTATAAGTAAATAATAATTTTTACAGTAATACTACCTTAAGTATGAAATTAAATCAGGTGAAACTTACCTTTTAGGTTCCTGTTCAAGGTTACGTGGAAATTCAGCAAGCGTTTCCATTTTGATGGATCTTTTCGTTATCACAACTCTTCCTACATTAACCTCAGGAGTAGTCAATAATGCGGTATTATTTTTTATAACCATACAAGACGTTGCTGGAGGTTGGATTGAACCTAAAGGAACTGTAAAGACGATCCACGAAGCGAGCGATGCTAACAGCAGAATTTTACCTTTTTGCCACCTTAAAAAATTAGGTGTTATCTAAACATCCTTCAACTATAAAATTAATCTAATATGCTATTTAATATTTCGATTCTTGGGTTTTCTAAAATTCTTGATACTGTCTTTGTTTACTTGGGTTTCTTTAATTATATTTCTGATATTTTAAATTATTTGAGATAAAAACAATACATTTTTATATATTACTAGCTGATCCTTTGAACTTCATACCGCTATATTTTTTTGCTAAGTCTAAGATTTTAATAATTATTTTAATACATTGTAATTAATGTATAACTTTTCTATTTACTGAAAACTGGAGATATTTTAATTCAAAAAGACTGTCAGTTGTTGGCATTAATGGTATTGTTACGATAAATTCTGACCCAAAATCGTAAATATATTTTACTAATATGTTTTTATTCATTCATGAATGTTCTAGGTATAACTACCTGACGAAAATCAGCCGAGCCGCTATAAAAACAAACCAGTTCCAGTTCATTCGAGACAATGCGGGTCAACATCCATGGGGTCTCCCCTCGGCTATAATATGACGTCACATTCCAGTATTTTCTACAAGAGTCAGGTCAGGTCTAGGCGGTCTTACGGTGCTTTATATAAAGACGAAATTTTATTGAAGAAGTCAGTTATAAGAAGCTCGCGAACCGCGATATTTAAATGTAACGAAACGTTAATAAATTATTTGTAATTAGGATTAATAAAGACTTTAATAAATTCGTAATTAGTTATCGTGAGTTTTAATAAATTAGAATATAGACAATAAACTAGAATAAAGAACTATAAATTAGAACTATATAAACTCAACAGTGGTGTACAGGAGTGGGGTTGTAGATAAATTTAATTTGAATTTTTGAAAAGAAGTGAAATTGGTGAACGATGGCTACGATTTACGAGCTCACAGTTACGAATCTAAGAAGGCATCTTGAAGACAGAGAATTAGCTTCTACCGGAAAAAAGACTGAGTTAATCCAACGACTAAAGAAGGCTTTGGAGGAAGAAGGTTTGAATCCGGAAACTTATATATTTGAAGACAAGCATGCTGCTGTCATCTCGTCGATTTCGAAAGTTTCTTCCGACGTAGTCAAAATCTCTGGTGATGTAGCCAAAGTTTGCGGTGACATCGCCTCTTTAGAAGACAAAATTTCTAACGAGATTTCTTCTCTAGAAAGCAAAGTTTCTGCCAACATCTCCTTGGAAATCTCTAAAGTCACTGCTGAGATGTCTGCCCTCGACGACAGAATGTCTTCGTTAAAAAACCAAGTTGCTGCCGATATGTTGGCCTTCGAAGAAAAGATGAAAGAGATGGAAAGGAAGATGGAGGGAACAGGAATGGTAGAGAGAGGAAATAATCCAATTACCGTAGAGACAAAAGAAGACGAGACGAAATGTAAGTTGGAAACGCGGCCGAAATTTGAAGGATGTGGAGTTTCTGTTCATGTTAAAGTTCCAACTTTCGACGGAAAATCATCATGGAACAACTACATGAAACAGTTCGAATCAGCTGCAAGAGCGAATGGATGGTCTGAAAAAGAAAAGGCTGTAAACCTGACTATAGCTCTTCGAGGAGATGCCTTAGATGTGCTCCAGACCATAGCCGTAGAGGAGACGGATGATTTCGAACAACTGAAGAAGAGGTTAAATATGCGATATGGCCACGAACACTTGGAACATGTATATCAGTCGCAGCTCAAAAATCGAAGACAAAAGAAAGATGAGGCTCTTCAGGAATATGAAGTAGATATCGCCAGATTAGTGCGATATGCTTATCCAACAGCTCCCGAAGACATGATGGAAAAGTTGGCCGTTCAAACGTTTATTGATGGTCTTCGTGATCATGAGATGCAAAGAACACTACGATTAGCTCGTCACAAGACGCTGGTTGATGTCTTATCCGCCGCCCTCGAATACGAGTCAGCTACGCAGGCCTCTGGCGGTTACAGTAAAGTTAGGACTGTAAAAGAGGAAGAAGATGAAGGTAAACTTGACCAGCTCGTTAATATGATGAAAGGCATGACATACAAGAAACCGAAGACCATAAGATGCTGGAATTGTGGCGAAATAGGACACGTACGAAGTTCTTATAAGCATCCTAGGTACGACGCAAATCAAGAAACTCACCATCAGGAAAACTAGAACGGGTCGGCCTTAGGGGGGCAGCTTCGACCCAGAACTTTTCCAAAGACCCTCTCATACTGATAGCTTCTTTGAAATGTCGTGAAGATAGTGTATATGTAGATGGAGAAATAAATGGTAAAAAGCATACGTTATTGGTGGATACTGGAGCGACAAGAACCATTATTCGCCCGACAGTTATAAACAGCCGTAAGAAACTGTTACCAACGAGGTTGCGACTGCGGACCGCTACAGGTGAAAATGCCAACATTCATGGAGAAATCCAGGTACAATTAGGAATTGGAGCAGAAAAGTTCGTCCATACTGTTATAGTTGCTGACATCGAAGAGGATGTTATATTAGGAATGGACGTAATGAATACGCATGGATTCCAATTGGATTTTAAGAATAAGGTAATCAAAGTTGGTAACGAGGAGGTATTCCTCCATCCACATGATGACAACACTATGCAAGCAGCCGTTAAAGAAGATACAGTCGTGCCTGCGAGAAGTGAAACGATAATAGTAGCGCGGCTACAGGGAATTGTGGACGAAGGAACACCTGTTATGATGGAGCCCTGGAATCATGACGACGAAGTTGGCCGTGGAATCATAATTGGAAAAGAATTAGTGACTTCGGCTAAAGAAATTCCTGTAAGACTTATTAATGTCAATGACTACCCAGTGACCATCAAGAAAGAGACAAAAGTAGGAACTTGTGTACCTGTTACATCCATAATCCGTCAGACGACAACGTCTGATAATTCCAACAACAAATTTGATCAAATGGTTGCAGTTGCTGGACAGTCTCTGAATCAGATTGAGAAAGGGAAATTAAGGGAATTTCTTCGGCAGTATCGTGATATTTTCGTACCGAAAGGAGGAAAGACGGGAAGAACTACCGTTGTTAAGCATAGAATTGATACTGGTAATGCTAAGCCAATTCGCCAAACAGCTCGACGATTACCACAGGCGAAAAGAGAGGAAGCTGAAACGATTGTTCAGGAAATGAAGAAAGACGGGGTAATAGAACCTTCTACGAGCCCATGGGTCTCTCCGGTGGTCCTGGTTAAGAAGAAAGACGGAACAACGAGGTTCTGTGTGGATTACCGTTTGCTGAACAACGTTACCAAGAAAGATAGTTATCCTTTGCCTCGGATCGATGACACATTAGACACATTGGCTGGAAGTAAATTATTTTCTACTTTGGATTTGAAGTCTGGATACTGGCAGGTAGAAATGGACCCGGTAGATAAAGAAAAGACAGCCTTCACCACAGGATCTGGATTATGGCAATTCAACGTTATGCCATTTGGACTTTGTAACGCTCCTGCGACATTTGAGAGGCTTATGGAAAATGTGTTGAGAGGGTTATCTTGGAAAACATGCCTAGTTTATCTAGACGACATAATTGTCTTGGGGGAGACATTTGAAGACCATCTGAAGAATTTAGAAAACGTTTTTAATCGACTTAAAGCTGCCCAATTGATGTTAAACCCCAAGAAGTGCCAGCTATTTCAAGGTAAAGTCAATTATCTGGGTCATATAGTCAGTAAAGAAGGAGTGGCCGTGGATAAGGGAAAAATCGATTCTATTAAGGAATGGCCAAAACCAACTGACAAACACCAAGTGAGAAGTTTTCTGGGACTGTGTACTTACTACCGGAGGTTTATTAAGAAGTTTGCAGATATCGCTAAACCATTAACGCGACTTACAGAGGAAGCAAGAGAATACCGCTGGGATGTAGACTGCCAGAATGCCTTTGAAACCTTAAAAAAGCATTTAATCACAGCACCAATTTTAGGGTATCCACTGCCAGAAGGAGAGTTCATCTTAGATACAGATGCAAGTAATGTGGGAATTGGAGGAGTGCTGTCTCAGATTCAAGGAGGACAGGAAAGAGTCCTTGGATATTTTTAGTAAAGTTCTCTCAAAACCTGAGCGAAATTATTGCGTCACGAGAAGAGAACTTCTGGCAGTAGTGAAATCAGTAGAGCACTTCTATCAATACCTCTATGGAAGGAAGTTTTTAATCCGAACCGACCATGCCGCCCTTAAATGGTTGATGCAGTTTAAGAATCCAGAGGGTCAGATAGCCAGGTGGATCGAACGACTCCAAGAATATGATTTTAAGATTGAGCACCGGGCCGGAGTTAGCCACCGAAACGCTGATTCTCTTTCCAGAAGGCCATGCCCAGCAGAGTGTTCTCACTGCAACAAAACGGAATCCAAGGAAGCAGCAGTGCTAAGAACGACGGTGGTCCACGACGACTGGACGCCTACCAAGATCAGGGAAGAACAAGAGAGAGATTCAGTTATACAGAAAATCCGAAAATGGAAAGAGGAAAACCGTCGACCACCTTGGCAAGAAATATCGAACCTAGGCTCAGTAGTGAAGACGTATTGGGCCCAGTGGGACTCATTTATCATGGAAGATGGCTTGCTCAAACGAGTCCTGGAAAATGATGACGGTTCAGAGAAGAGAAGACAGTTGGTGATTCCAAAGAGCAGAATAGCCGAAGTACTTCGTCAGTTACACGACAGTCCATCAGGAGGGCATTTTGGTGTGAAGAAGACCCTTCAGCGAATTCGGGAACGGTTTTATTGGATGAACAGTTCCGACGATGTAAAAGACTGGTGTAAGAAATGTACTATTTGTGCTACGAGTAACGGGCCTTATCGAAAAAGGAGAGCTCCTATGAGAGAATATAATGTTGGAAGCCCGTTTGAAAGAATAGCTTTGGACATTGCTGGGCCGTTTCCAGAAAGTGATAATGGAGGCAAGTACATGTTGGTAGTAATGGATTACTTCACTAAGTGGGTCGAGATTTACGCACTTCCAGACCAGAAGGCGGCCACCGTTGCAGATAAGTTGATCCAAGAATATATC